GGTGGCCCGACCCGTGACCCGGGCGGGTGGCCCGGCCCGAACCGGAACCGGCCATTGCCCGGGCCGGTCCCGGGCGTACCATTACAAGACCCGAGGCCCGACCGGGCCTTGACCCGGCCCGGGCCCGGCCCGGGTCCATCACTACCTAGGGTCCTCCACCAATTTATAATCCGAGTGTTAAGGACTTTTAAGTCCTAGGGTCCTCCACCAAAGTATGAGTGTTAAGGACTTTTTAGTCCTAGGGTCCTCCACCAAATTTTGAGTGTTAAGTACTTTTAAGTACTAGGGTCCTCCACCAAATTTTGAGTGTTAAGTACTTTTAAGTACTAGGGTCCTCCACCAAAATATTTTCCTATGATCAACCTCCTATCAACTTAGATAGAGTCTATATCATACTTAGTTACTCATAACTAATTCAATACATAAAGCTTATGTATCACAATCCATGCAAAGCCATACAATTATATAAATGTATAATTAACTAATATCAACCGATATTAATTAATCCATTATCCATCGGTCAACGTTGTCGTTGACCGCCATTTCAAGTCTTACACTTATCAACTTAATCATCATGTAATTAAGTTAATAATATTCATTGGTGCTTCTTATACATTTCAACAAATATGCATTTTATATAATTCTTCATATCATATTCCATGCATAAACAATTTACTTCTTTCATACAAACTTAACCCTATTGGCTAATCACATGTTTAAATATCTTTTAAACATCATTATGAACTCATGTAACATTTATTTAGTTAATCTCATAATTAACCCAAAAGTTATAAGATATTAAGCCGTCCACTCACCTTGAACTAGCGTTATGAAGTTCTACCCTTCTTGGTTGAACTCCGGTGAAACTCCGGCGACTTTTGGTCAACTCCGGCGACAATTCCGGCGACTTTTCCAACCTTGTGAAATCACTTGAAATAAACTTTACAAGTGCCTAACAAGGTTTTAACATCATAAAACCTTAATCAATACAAATAACCTATAAAAGGTTATTTTCTGGTGAACCGGTCGTTTTGACTTCTAAATCCGTTCTTGGACTTAGAACCACCTTTCAACCCATTATTCCACACTCTTATCATGTAGAACAATCTCAGGGGTTCTACATATGATATATATATCATATGATGGAAGGAAAAATAGAGAAAAAGTTATGATAAGGTTATTATCTTAATTTCCACACTTTTAGCACTTTAATTCCTCTTCTTGAGGTCCTTCCTTGTTGAGCTCTCAACAATGGAGAAAGGAGGATGAGGAGTTTTCTTGCTCTTGGTTTCTGTGTCTTGGCCGAGATAAGGAGGGGAGAGAGGGATGGGGATGGACTTTTGTCTCATTGATCCAATGAGTGCAAAAATGGGGGTCCACCTAGGTACCTTTGATGCCATTTCCTTCATATCAAAATCCTCTTCCCATGTTCCCTTCCTATACCAGCCGACCAACCCTCAATTTTGAGTGGCAAAAATCGTGGGTTGGCCCCCACTCATGTGGGAGGTCAACCCTTTTCGTCCCGAAGTGTACAATCGGCCCCGAAAGTTGTATTTTCGGACTATTTTAAATATATTTTATTTTATCGGGTCAAATAAAATATATTATGTGTTCTTAATCATTAAGACCCTTATAATGAATGTACATTCCCCAACTTTAATTTATAAGCCTCCGAAATTCAGTTCGGGCTGTTATCTGTTAAATTACCAGTACCGGTAATTTGGGCTTCTCTTGACCAATCGGTCAACTCTGGGCCTTTCCATGGCCCAAATGAAATATCCACCACTATATAAATATTATCTTGACCAAGATGAATAAAATATGTGGTCTCGGGAATGTTGGGTGGTCTCTGCTCCCGATGTGGGTCCCACATGCAATTTACTATTCACGCGAAAGAAATAATAAAAATTTACAACTTCGTAAATTCATTAATCCTTTAATAAGGTTCAATACATTATTTACATAAAAGTAAATATATTTGGGGACGGTGTTACACTCGAGGGGGCATAACGAGCCCCGCCCCACAAGTGGGAGGTTACTGTGCCTAGTGGGAGGTCTCAAATTCGAATCCCGTAAAGGGTTGAAACTCAATGGAGTGAGTTTCAGTCCTGATTACTCCAGGCTCCCCCCAGCCCCCAGACCCCCTGGATTAAAAAAATGTAGAGAGAGAGAAAAAAAATTACTATACCTGACAAGATTTTCATCCAATAGTTCTTCATTTTTGGTCAAAATGAAAGTTATGATCCAATTATTTTTATTCATCAAAGTTAACTATTAGTTTTAACTGTATGATCATAAAAAAAATGTCTTTTCTGAGATTAAGAGTCTGTTTGGTGACTTTGTTTTTCGGCTCATCAGCCAACTTTTTAACCAAACATGTAACTTTTGATTCTCCTACTGAATTGTGTAATAATAATAAAAAAGTAAGGTTTGAGTTACTTTTTTTGTTGTATTGGCTGAAATTACTGCAAATGCCTAATTTAGCTATTTTTCATATAATTTTTTCTTTATTTTATTGATTTTCTTTAAATAAGCAGAATAAGACAATACAACCACTTCAACCAAAACTGTTAAATTTCAACAAAATGTACCAATACAACTAATTTCAGTGTTACTAAACAGGCTCTAAGTATGATTTTAATGACAAATAATGCTAAATTCATCTCATTTGAAACTTTCGAAATCTGATTATTATACTAATAAGGAATGAAAGATAATAATGGTCCAATAAGTGTGTTGGTTAACACACAAAATGAACCGTTGCAACTAAAAAAGAACAAATTAAATGAAGTATATGACTAATATAAAGTGATTCTACCTTATACAAAATGATTATGCTTGTAACTTTTAGTAACTATGATTGTGTTCCATATCATTGGACCGGGACATCTGCTTTGCTAAATAATTTTACGGAATATATATTTCATACTTAAGATAATATTAAAAAAAATATACTATGCATGCATTTATGTTAGTGGAATGATAGGCATATGCATGCATTTATGTTAGTAGTCTATGTTTCAATTAACGGGAAAAGCAACGGTAAGGGTAGTTAAGGAATGCTAAAAAAGAGAAAGTTTTTTATGTTGACACAAAAAGATGGTGCTAAGCAGGATTCACAAATATAAAGTTTTTAGATTTAAATTTAGATATTATGTTGATGTCTTAAGCTTTCCCCTACAAAATAAACTTTCAAGCCTTGACCTCCCTAACAATACAATTCTGGTAATATTTGTGCTTGTAATTACCTCTATATCCAATCTCTACCCCAGCTCCCACCTCACCCTTACCCAACTTTCGACAAAAATCGCTAGAAACCACCATCAGGAACCATTACCGGATTTTTTTGGTGTTTTTCATTTTTTATACACATACTTGGGAGGTAATCCACACTACAACAAAATCAACTTTTTGTACCGCTCCAAAAATGTTACAGTAGGTGAATAAAGTGTTACAAAAGCCTAAAGCAACACTTTTATGTGTGTTACTTTAGATCTCGTCACATAAAGTCATATGTAACACTTTTTTCATTTATGCAACTTTGAATAGAAAAGTTGCATAAATATTATATATGCAACACTATTTTGCAACACTTTCACCAACATTTTATGCAACACTTATGATACTTATGTAACGTAATTATATTGTTCTTTTGCAACATTTATTCAGATTACATAACATTTACACATCTCCTTAATGCAACACTTTTTTTAAAAACCAGCAACACTTTTTCATGAATTATAAGCAACACCCATTCCAAGATTATGCACTTTCATATATTATAAAACATCCATATAATAAAACTCTTTATTAATGTACTAAAACTAAAAGTATTACGGAGTACATCATTTATAACGGGCAACTATAAAAAACATACACCTCTTATTGAGATGGCTAGAGATAATGACTATTGTTGATACTACACCAGTATGTTAATAGTACAATAATCTAGATTGCTAGATTGCTAGCTAATGTTGCATCTACCAATGTTATCACTTGTCTTCTTTCACGATCAAATTGTCCGGTGTCCATACTACCAGGGTTTCGTTGCACATCTTAAGCAGATCGATCACCTTCACTCATGTGCCCAACCTTTTCCAAACTCTGATACATATACCTTTTCTGCGCCATGTTTATCATATGAAACTAGACCATTAACTTTTCTGCGCCATGTTTATCTTGACAGGCCTGCACATTTCATATACAACAATTAGATTAAGGGCGTGTTTTCCAAGGGCCATTTGGCTAAAAGGCAAAGGCGTGACTTTATCAGACAAGAAATCAAAAGCTATTTCTTATACTCCGTATAGTATTTCTATTATCTTCCTATATACAAAACACAGTGGAAAGTTGGCTGAATTTCCCGTCCAATTCCACTGCCAATACGGGTCGGATAGGTTGCAAAACGGGTCACCAGCTCAGGGAGAGTTCAGGTGCAAAGGATGCATTAAATGATGGTGACTAAAGTTGCTTTTAGTGTTGAAAACAGGCTGTATGAGATTGCAGCATTAAATGTTGGCGACTAAAGTTGATGTGTGATTTGCTTATACGACTGAGTCTACATAAAGTGGTGGCTGTGCCTGTGATGTACTACTCTGTCCCACTATGTTTGGGACAAAGAAGTGTGGCACAAATTTTAAGAAAAAGTGGAATTGTGTGGTTGACTGGTTGGTGTTGAATTGATAAAGTGTGAATAATGTAAGAATGAATTATAACAACCCAAATATTGCCAAATATGGTATGGAACAAACTTAATGAGACGGACGAAAAAGGTAAAATGGGACAAATTTAGAGGGACGGAGGGAGTACTTAATACGGCTCAATTAATTTGAAGCTACCCATCCTTTCGAAACTTTTGGCAAGCATTAAATGAAAGGTGGTGCTGTACATTCTTTTAGAACAAAAGATTGCATCCATGATTTTCGAAGTACATATGCATTAAATGCATAGCAACTTCTGAAGCACACTATGTGTCTTAACCAGATGTTCGTTGGTTTTTAATCTACTCTTATCTGCTGGTCCGAAATTCTTGCAAGTATCAATGCACAATACAGAGGCCCAATTGTAGTATAAATGCAGTGCCTCACTAGATCGAGAAACACATCCCACACAATCACACATCTTGCAACAAAAAATGGTACAATCTCACAAAAAATGATGTTCTTCATTAACGCACAAGTGGTCACTACAACAAAACACGCGTGTAGTGATGAAATTAGTCACGGACCGCAGTGTAAAAAAAACGTGACTAATTAACTCTGTGGCCGGAATAACTTTGTCACGTATATAACCGTGACTAGTCGTAGTCACGGACGTAGTCACGGACGTAGTCACGGTCATATCCATGACTATTTTTTAAAAAAAAAACCGTGACTAGTCCGTGACTAGTACCGTGACAAACTAGTCACGGACCAAATCCGTGACTACCGTCCGTGACCACACGCGTGTTTTTTTGTAGTGGGTATGAAACCAATATTATACCCAAATTTAATTTTGTCTTTATATTTACTAACATGTCTTTCTTTGTTGCAGGGTGAAATAATACATGGTATTGTAAAGAGGCCAGTGTTCAAATCCAAGGTAAAAGAAAACATCAGTGATGTCTTGCTCTATAGTTACAGCCCCAAAGATATGTAAAGAATTTTTATTCACAGAGCTAGACTAATGGTAATAAATTAAAACGATATGCAGAAAGCATTAAAAAAGAACAATAAACATGTGAGATGTGAGTACATATAATTACAATATAAAGCATACCGAGTATTTGCTTTCATTGACTTCTACAGGATATGTAGTTGTGAACATTAAGATGAAGAAGCTAACCAAAACTACCATCATGAACCGTAAAAGAGAGTCAAAGAGATTGTTGATCAAGGTATCTAAATCGTTATCAATTGTATTAAAATGATTGGGTATTAAAGATATAAATTTTTAGTATAATTGTTTATATTATAATTAAAAGAACTATAATACATTTTATAGAATAATACAACATACAATTTAATGATATGATACATAGTATAATAATAATAATACAACATGTATGCTAATACTCCGTAATGTACATTGTATAATAATAATAACGATTAAGTGAATAGTCTATGGACTAAATAGTTTCATAATATAGTATAATATTTTAATCAGTCAAAAACAAATTTTAAAAGTCGGAAATTGGTTTCAACGTAAAAGTTGTATCAAAAGGTCTATGAACAGACATATAACAGGTTTCAACCCCAAAGTTTTATTTTATTTATTATATGTCCAGACCATGATTATGTAAAAAGCTACTGATATGTCAATTGTCATATTAATGTTTAATAATGTCAAATTATGACATTGATTTTGGAAAAAACTGACAAATAAATCTACGCACTTTTTAATGTTTAATTACTTTTTAACAAAGTAATTAAGTTTGCGAAGAATAGAAAATGACAAAATCGTTAATTTTACAGGTAATCAACCGCTTATTCGGTTAATTGTTTACGTGGATGTCCCAATTAACATTTTTTTTGCGTTTTCTAATTTTCTACTAGTATAATGTTCTTCAAAAATGAAAATGTAGCAGAAATATGTAATACTAATTTTGTCATATAACGTTTTGAAAGAGACTATTATTAAATAATTATAATATGTTAAATTTACACTATTTACATGTTTTATTTTAATTATATTTTATGTATTAATGTATTAGAAATTTAGTTTTAAAATATTCTTTTTATTGTTTTTAAATATTTTAATTACGAAGTATATTAATGATTAAATTTATGGATTGAGAAATGGAATCATTACCATTAAAAAAGAAAGTATATTGCAAAATGAATAATTAACCTAGGTATATATGGAGTAACATCCGTGCTCCGCGCGCCACCCAAATGGCTGGGCGCACCAATCTTTTGTCAAGTCTGAACAAATACGTCCTTGATTAGTGACGCACTCAGGCTGCTTTAATTTTCACCCCATATACTTATTTTTATTTTACTACTCCCTACGTATTAGTTAGTTAGTTACTCAAGTATTCAACGTGTGCTTCTTTAAATAGTCACTAGTATCTTTACCCGTGCCGTGCACGGGATAAAACGATTTGATTTAGGTTTACTGTATATGTGTGTGTGCGCGCGCGCTGACATGTTTATGATTTATTAGAACTAACAGAAAGTCCCTTGTTTAGTCAATTATAACATTGGTTGATAATGAATATTCTTATTTATTGAGCATGCCCTATTTTTTTAACTAATTATCCAAACATTTTCTCACTCTATATTATCCAATTGAGAAAAATAATTAAAATACCCCAAACTATGGAGGGATGTGAGATTAGCACCCCAAACTTGCATATGTAATTTAAATACCCCAAACTTTGTATAAAATTCTATTTTAGCACCATGGTCATGTATCATTTGTTTCAAAAATGTAAATTTATGATGTTAATTGCATAATTTAAAATCAACCAGCAAATAAATGCTAGCTTTGAGACTGAGGGAGCACAATCTAGTAAATTGAAATTCGAAGCACTTTTACTACTTATGCAATGTACAGATACACTTCCCACAAGGGCAAGATTGGGATTTCCCACTAAGCAAATGCCCTCCCGATGGAATTCTTATTGTCGAGATGGTCAGATAAACATAAGGGGTATTCTAAACGGTACTCGAATGTTGTTTGCGCTAAAATCACAACCAAGGTTAATAATTTTAAGGGAAAATGAAAATTAATAATCCAACCTTTTAGCGGCATTCTCTTAATAGTCCGACCTTTTCGTTATTCATGAATAATCCAACTTTTGCACCTCATCTTCATTCACAGGTCCCCGACCGGTTGATAACCTGCTATTCCGAGTTATTTTCTTATCTCCGCAAACTATTATACCATAAATTCCACCTTTCACAAAGATAATATTTTGCAAAGATAAGAAAATAACTTGGAATAACAGGTCATCAACCAGTCGGGGACCAGTGAATGAAGATGGGGTGCAAAGGTTGGATTATTCATGAATAACGAAAAGGTGGGACTATTAAAAGAAGACCACTAAAAGGTTGAATCATTAGTTTCCATTTTCCCTAATTTTAATTGATTCGAAGTGTTTAAAAATTACTCCCTTCGTACATTAAAAATTTTCCAAGTTGACCGGCATGGAGAATAATTATGTAAAAACATGTAATTGTTATTTTTGATGAGGAGGAAGAATTAATAGGAACCATATAATTGTTTAAAATGGAACTGACAAAATTTATGGGACGACCAAAAATTACTTGCTTAAAATACTACTCCTTCCGTATCTAATTAAACTGCCCCGTTTGCTTTTCACGCAGTTTAAGAGAATTAATGTAGACCTTATAAAAATAAGAGGTTTTTGTAATGTAGTGGTACTGTAGCGGTATCATAGTGGTACTATAGCTACGTTTTGAGTGAATTTCTTTCCAAAAAAGGAAATGAGACAATGAATTTGATACAAACAAAAAGGAAAGTGAGACAACTAATTAGATACACAGGGAGTATATTAACCAACCTTTACCGAATTCCCAACATCTTCATTTTGAATCAATGGAGTGTCATTACACCAGCCTAAAGCAGCTATTGAATGCGATAATAGTATTAGTAAACTTGTTTATTACGAAGTATTAGACTTTGGAAGCTAACTTTATACTGGGCGTGAAATAAAAAAGTAAAAATGTGTGATTTATGTTTATGCAAAGGAGAGCAAAACAAATTGAACCACAAATTTGTTATTTGAAAAGTAAACCAACAAAGTTTTTAGGACAAATAAAATATAAATTTTGCAAAATAATTGAAACGGAATGAAGGGAGTTTAAAATAAAATAAATCGACCGCTACCAATGGCGTTATGCAGCCGGACTGTCATCGCCGCCATTACCTTCATTGAAATAAAAAAATGTCACAAAATTATGTATTCTAATTAATTCTTCTCTTAAAGAAGGAGATAGAAGGACTAATTTGCTCAATTCTAAATCCTAGAAGGGCTAATATTTTAAAAAAAAGACCACACCATTATTAAATAAATAAATTAAAAAAATGAGTGGTTATTAGTTTTGAAAAAACAGTGAGCTACAGATGAAATCTAATGGCTAAAAATAGGCATTGAGCAATTTTTTTTGTTTATATAAAGATGTTTGAAAAGACGAAATTCATTTGGATGCAACATAAGCTTTTAAAAGATGTGCATTTTAATTGGATAATATATACTGACAACATGTTTAGATATTTAGTTAAAAATAAGACATATATACTCAATAAATAGGGAAAATGGAAACTAATAATCCAACCTTTTAGCGGTCTTCTTACAATAGTCCCATCTTTTCATTATTCATGAATAATCCAACCTTTGCATCTTATCTTCATTCGCTGGTCCCTGACCGGTTAATGACTTGATATTATAAGTTATTTTCTTATCTATGCAAAATATTATCTTTGTCAAAGGTGAGATTTATGGTATAATGGTTTGCAAAGATAAGAAAATAACTTGGAATAGGAGGTCATCAACCGGTCAGGGACCAGTGAATGAAGATAAGGTGCAAAGGTTGGATTATTCATGAATAATAAAAAAGTGGGATTATTGTAAGAAGACCGCTAAAATGTTGGGTTATTAGTTTCTATTTTCCCCAATAAATAAGATTTTTTTACTCCAGAGGGCGTGTGGGGGAGAGTGTTGGGGGCCCTGAGTAATCAAGACTGAAACTCACTTTATTGAGTTTCGAACCTGAGACCTCCCGTAAGGGAAAGTGAGTCGGCGACCAACTGGACTGGATCGCTTCTTCAATCAATAAATAAGAATATACATTATTAACCAATGTTATTATTGACTAAATAAGTGACTTTACGTTAATTCTAATAAGGCATACATATGACAATGCACGTGTACACACATGTTAAAACTAAAATTAGCCCTTTTTTCCCGTGCACGGCACAGGTAAATATAATAAATATTTATAAATCATTTTCCTATCAATTATCCATATTTTGGTCATATATTAAAAAATCATTTTCTTAGGACACATTCCAATTTTGATTGTGATTTTTTGGATATTCCAATTTTGATAGTGTTTTTTTTAGTTTTTGGATATTCCAATTTTGATTGTGATTTTTAAAGCGTGTTATTTCTAGTGCTCGTTAATTAGAAATTAAACAGAAAGCTTTACATTAATTTTGATTTTTAAAAAATTCCAATTCTGTTGAACTCTAATTCTGATCTAATACGAATCTTAGTTCGAATTTTTAGCAATTCAAATTCTAATCTACATAAGAGTTTTTAATAGTGCAAGGTTTTAGGAGTTTTAACTCCGTACTAAAAACTTTTTGGAGTAATAATCTACGAATAAGTATTCTAGATTTTAGGGAGCTTTTAATTGCTTCTAAGTTATTAAACATAATTTTTCAAAAGAATTGCTTAGAGAATGACATGTGGCAAAACTTTCCATAATTGTATCTTTCAAATGTATTATCTATAGATAGATGCAACATTATTCAATTTTTAATAAAGGTTTGATTTTCATATTTCTTTAATCTTTTTTCTAACAACTTTGTTTCTAAAGAATAACAATCTTTTTTTTAACGAAAAAGAATAACAATCTTTAAAACATGGGTTTTTCTAATATAATTACGCTTACAAACTCTAATACCATCAAATAATCACTTATAAAAATTTGTAATCCATTATAATATTTTTACAATTTTCTACAATCATCTCATACAATAAGCAATGAATGTAGAGATTATTGAAAAAAAATATGATTTACTTCCACACTTCATTCATATTTCTTTCTTTCTTTTTTAACTACTTCATTTGATTAACTATATTTCTATCTTTCTTTCGTTTTGATCCGTTTTATTAAGAGCATGTTTGATAACAGTGAAATCAACAGAATAGGCCGATTCTGCTGAAATTTATGAAATTCTGGCTGAAGTGGCTGAATTGGTTGATCCTGCTGATTTGTGAAAAATTATATTTTAAATATATCTTATTAATAAATAAAAAATAACTAGAATAGACATATAGAGTAACTTCAGTCAATATAGTCAGAGAAGTCACTCCAACCTTACATTTTCTTTTTATAACCAAATCCAGCACGCGAACTCAAAATTTACATGTTTGGAGCAGATAATACAGTAGATTTAGAAGGATATGCAAAAAAGAAGTGTGGACCATTCAAGAGGGAAATTTTAGAGTTCGTTTGGTAACCTTTTTTTCGGCTTATCAGCTTACTTTTTTACCAAACACACAATTTTTGATTTCGTAAATGAATTGTGTATAATAAGAAAAAGTAAGGTTGAAGTCACTTTTGTGAGTATACGGTAGAAAATCATACTAACTATTTTTTTCATACGTAGTATAATTTTCTCTCTATTTTATTTATAAAATATATTTTTTCGTAAATGTATGTACTTCCAACCGGCATCTTAATTAGGAAGAGGAGAGATGGGTGTAATTAAAATAGAACAAAAAAGCTAAACAAGAGACATTTTTGTCAAGTGGGGGTGCGCATAGTAATCTGGGAGGTGTGTGAAGTAATGCCCGAGTAATGATCTACTAGTAGATGGGAGTACATAAAAGAGGACAGAAATTGTTCCAAATAGGAGTAAAAATGTTTTGAAATTCCAAAATAGGAGTATCATGTTTTTATTCTTTGGATAAGAGTAATATGCCAAGTGAGAATGGCAGCAGCTGTTCGGGAATCGACCATGTCGATTCCATGGAAGCCGGCATCCACCGACACTCCTCTCATCACCAACATCTGCACGAACTCCTGCTGCCGGTCAATCAACCCTGGCAAGATTCAAGAACCCATTTGGAAAGAATTTGCACCAAACAGTCCGTTGATGTTCTTTTTTTGGAAAGCATATTCTTCTTATATTTGGGGTTCTATTTCCATACCTATTCTGAATTTTTTAATTTCCCAAATAAAATGTTATATTCAGAGTTGGGCTGCTAAACTGGCTACAATCAAACCTAAACCAATGGAGGCTTTTCTTAAGCAAGAGAATCTGATTGCGAAGGATTTCAGTTTTAATTTCTCAGGTTTATGTGGAAGTTAAACTTGTCCAAATTCAGTTTATTATGTTTTCTTTGTGTGTGGGTACTTTATTATGTGTGTACTTTTAAGTTGTACGTGTGCATACTGCACACTAGGTCCATTATCATGAAAAGACTAAAAACAAGGGAGTGGGGGAGTTACTGGGTTCGTGTGTGTGGTAGTTATCTTGCATACGTATTGTAAATATATATAGGGAGTGTGTGAAAGGGTTTTTTGTATCCGATGCTACTGGATTTTTCCCTTTCAAAAGATTAATGCAAGGAAACACTTTGCTTATTACTCATCTCATGCTTTCATATACACGGATAAGTAGTATGTTGTTTGCTTTGCAGATGCATAGCTTCTGAGAATCAAGTGAGTATCAAGTGTGATCTTCTAACATTTGGTATCAGAGCTTGGTGGATCCTGAATCATGTCAAGAGATACTGGTGGTACTCACAATGATGAAGGGCAGTCACAAGAGAAAGGTGACATCATTGCACTCAAATATCCCATGCTCACAAAAAGTAATTATGCTGCATGGGCTATTAAGATGGAGGTTTACATGATGGCACAAGGAGTATGGGAAGCCATTGAAACTGAGGGTGTTGTTGAAACACGAAAGGATAAAATGGCTCTTGCAGTCATATACCAAGGTATTAGTGAAGATACCTTGCTTCAACTTGGTGCAAAGAGGACAGCAAAGGAGGCTTGGTCCATGCTTAAAACAATGAACCTGGGGGCTGAAAAAGTAAAGGAAGTAAGAACTCAGTCCTTATGGAGAGAATTTGAGGCAATGAAAATGTCTAATGAAGATAGTGTGGATGACTATGCTAGTAAACTACAGATTGTAGTTACTAAGTTGAGGGGACTTGGAAATGAAGTGAAGGAAGAAAAAATTGTGAAGAAATTACTCAGATCAGCATCACCCAAGTTCCTGCAGATAGCATCTACAATTGAGGAGTTTGGAGACTTAAAAACCAAAACCAGTGAAGAGATCATTGGATCACTCAAGGCACATGAAGAAAGGTTTCAGAGTGTTGAAACAAAAACTGAAGAAACTGTCTTGCTAACCCAGGCAGAGTGGAAAGCAAGAGAGGAGAAACATGCCAAGGATGTCTCTAGGGATTTCAGGAGTAATAGAGGAGGACGTGGTAGAGGACGTGGAAGAGGCTACAACACTTCTCACAAAAGAGAAGAAGAGCCAATGCAAAAGAGGAAATTTGATAAGTCTAAGATCAAATGCTATAATTGTGGAAAGATGGGGCATTTTGCCTCAGAATGCACTACAGAAGAGAAAGAGGATCATGCTAATTTCATGAAGGAGGAGGATTTTGAAGAACCTGCATTGCTGATGATAGAGACATGTGAGTTAAATCAAACTCAACCTCTGCAAGAAAATACACATGAATTAAAGAGAAATGAGGCAAGCTGGTACTTGGATACCGGTGCAAGCAACCATATGACTGGAGACAAAGGATGTTTCACAAGTATTGACTCTTCAGTAAATGGAAAGGTAAGGTTTGGAGATGGATCTGTAATAGATATACATGGTTTAGGATCAATACTTTTCCAATGCAAAAATGGAGAGCATTTGGTCCTAACAAATGTATACTATATACCTAAACTGAAGAGCAATATTATTAGCCTTGGTCAACTTAGTGAGAATGGGAGCCGGGTGGTTATAGAAAAGGGAGTGATGAGAGTCTATGATAGTCATAGTAGGCTCATCATCAGAGTTGAGAGACAAAACAACAAGTTGTTCACTGTAAGACTGCAAATTGCAGAGAAAATCTGCTTGCTTATGAACATTGAAGACAAATCCTGGCTTTGGCATGCAAGATTTGGGCACTTGAACTTTCAAGCACTCAAAAGACTCTCAACCTTCAAAATGGTGGAAGGCCTGCCTGAGATCAGTCATGTAAATCAAGTGTGTGATGGTTGTGCTGTAGGGAAGATGCACAGAACTACATTTCCAAACAAGACCTCTTTCAGAGCAAAGAAAGCATTGGAGTTGATCCATGGAGACCTGTGTGGGCCTATCACACCCTCCACACATGCAGGTAACAAGTATTTCCTATTACTTGTTGATGATTACTCTAGATACATGTGGATTACTCTTCTGGCCTCAAAGAGTGAGGCATTAGAGAAGTTCAAGAGATTTAAGGCATTGATTGAAAATGAAGTGGAGATGAAAATCAAGTGTCTTAGAACTGACAGAGGAGGGGAGTTTAACTCATTTGATTTTCAAGCTTACTGTGACCATGAAGGAATAAGAAGGCATCTTACAGCTCCCTACTCTCCACAACAAAATGGGGTTGTGGAGAGGAGAAATCAGACTGTAATCGAAATGGCAAGGAGTATAATGAAAAGTAAAGAGGTTCCAGCAAAATTCTGGGGGGAAGCAGTGAAAACCTCTGTGTATGTTTTGAACAGGGCACCAACAAAAAGTGTAGAAGGGATGACACCATACCAGGCTTTGTATGGCAAGATTCCAAACATTCAACACCTCAGAGTGTTTGGTTGTCTTGCTCATGCTAAAACTGTCTCACCTCATCTTACCAAGCTTGATGATAGAAGTGTGCAAACTGTCATGCTTGGCTATGAGGATGGGTCTAAGGCATACAGATTGCTGGAACCAATCAAAGAAAAAGTTATAGTAAGTCGAGATGTTTTATTTGAAGAAAACAAGAAGTGGGTATGGGAAGATAAATCAAGTAATGGTCAGGAAGATAGTCAAAACACGTTCACAGTGCACCTGAAAAAGATCAGAACTATAGCAGCTGAAGAGACTGAGGAAGAAGAGGAGATGTCATCTGAAGCATCATCTCATGATACTCCTAGGTCTCATACAGGTTCTAGTGCTGCTAGTGAAGGGCATCAGAAGTTCAGATCTTTACAAGAAATCTATGATGCTACAAGGGGAATAGAAGAAGAAGCAGGGCTGTGTTTTCTGACTGAAGAAGAACCCACATGCTATGCTGATGCATGCAGAAACCAAGATTGGAAGGAAGCAATGGAACAAGAAATTCATTCAATTCAGAAGAATGGAACCTGGGTACTGACTGATTTGCCACAAAACCATAAGGCCATTGGATTGAAATGGGTGTTCAAGCTCAAGAGGAATCCAGAAGGGAAGGTAATCAAGCATAAGGCTAGACTAGTTGCTAAGGGGTATGTACAGAAGTATGGAGTTGATTATAAAGAAGTATTTGCCCCAGTAGCAAGGTTAGAAACAATCAGAACTTTGATTGCATATTCAGCACTGAGGAGATGGGACATACATCACATGGATGTAAAGACAGCTTTCTTAAATGGGGAGCTAAAGGAGGAGGTTTATGTCCTTCAACCAGATGGTTTCATTGACAAGAAGAGCCCAAATAAAGTGTTAAAGCTGCACAAAGCACTTTATGGATTAAAACAGGCTCCAAGAGCATGGAATGAGAAGCTAGACAAGAGTCTACAATCTCTGGATTTTAGAAAGTGTGTGTTTGAGCATGCAGTTTATACCAAAAAACATCAAGATGAGGTTTTGATTGTAGGGGTTTATGTTGATGACCTAATTGTCACAGGATCAAGTGTAGAGTCCATTGAAAAATTTAAGAAAGAGATGATGGCTGCGTTTGAAATGAGTGACTTGGGACTACTAAGTCACTATCTGGGAATTGAGGTAAGGCAGGATCCTGAGACTATTACCCTATGCCAAACAAGTTATGCTCAGAAAATACTTGAGAAAGCTGGTATGGCTGATTGCAATCCATGTGTACTTCCAATGGAACCAAGGTGCAGGTTGAGTAGATTTGATGGGGAATCACTTGTGGATGCAACTCAGTATAGAAGTATTATTGGATGCCTCAGATATTTGGTCAATACCAGGCCAGATTTAACTTACTCAGTAGGTGTGGTTAGCAGGTACATGGAAAGACCAACTGTGACACATATGAATGTTGTCAAACAGATTCTGAGATATGTGAAGGGAACCCTTGGAATGGGGTGTGAGTACAAAAGGAGTAAGGAAGGCGCAAGTCTGATAGGGTACTGTGATAGTGATCTTGCAGGAGATACAGATGATAGGAAGAGTACGACGGGCATTCTTTTCTTTCTTGGGAAAAGTCCAATCACCTGGGTATCACAAAAGCAAAAGGTGGTAGCATTGTCATCCTGTGAGGCAGAGTATATAGCAGCAACTGGAGCAGCATGTCAAGGAATATGGCTCACTAAGCTAATGGAAAGTCTGGAAGGGCAGGATCAAGAAAGGCCAGTGTTAAAGGTTGACAATAAATCAGCAATTTCTCTGGCAAAGAATCCAGTTTATCATGGTAGAAGCAAGCATATAGACACCAAGATCCATTTTATCCGTGAGTGTGTTCAACATAATGTTGTGGAGCTTGAGTACACAAGAACTGAGGACCAATTAGCTGATATTTTAACCAAGCCTCTTGGAAAACAAAGGTTCTGTGAGCTGCGAGACAAAATTGGGGTGAAAGTGGTACAGAAGTGAAGCCAAGTTTAAGGGGGAGAATGTGGAAGTTAAACTTGTCCAAATTCAGTTTATTATGTTTTCTTTGTGTGTGGGTACTTTATTATGTGTGTACTTTTAAGTTGTACGTGTGCATACTGCACACTAGGTCCATTATCATGAAAAGACTAAAAACAAGGGAGTGGGGGAGTTACTGGGTTCGTGTGTGTGGTAGTTATCTTGCATACGTATTGTAAATATATATAGGGAGTGTGTGAAAGGGTTTTTTGTATCCGATGCTACTGGATTTTTCCCTTTCAAAAGATTAATGCAAGGAAACACTTTGCTTATTACTCATCTCATGCTTTCATATACACGGATAAGTAGTATGTTGTTTGCTTTGCAGATGCATAGCTTCTGAGAATCAAGTGAGTATCAAGTGTGATCTTCTAACAGTTTACAGGTTATCAAATGGAGAAGACCCAACAAAAGCTATAAAATGAATATAGACGCAGCTTTTTCACCTGATATGGTTCAAGGAGGCGCTATTCTGAGAACCCGATCTGGAGATTTCGTCCTCATGATGATCTTCAAAATCGAGGCATTATCCTGTGAAGAGGCGGAACTGAAAGTTATGATCCAAGCCGCGGAAATGATTATGGAGGAAGGGTATGATGATGTTCAGGTTGAAACGGATGCTGTCCATTCCATTTCTACTCTGTTTAACGATTTAGGAAATACCACTGTCATTCAGAATTTCAGAAGGAAAGCATTGGATAGGGGATTTTGTTTTACTCATGTTTACAGGGAGGGTAATAACCCGGTCCACTATTTGGCAGCCCACAAGATTCATTCAGCCAAGGTCCGTTTTGAGAGGATTGATCTGTTACCTAATACGATTAAGAGTGCTTATTATGCTGATCTCTTTAATATTCTTAGTTTACATTTTTAATTCAATGTATGTTAATTTTGGGTCAGGTATAGCCCCCCAAAATTTCTTAAATTTGCTCTTATTCATGCATTTCTCAGAGGTGTGCCTCTGAAGAGAGGTTTTGGTATAGTCCCCCTCTCTTTTTGTGCTTCATTTCATTTTTAATAAAACTCTGGCAAATGTTCCCCAACAAAACAAAAAAAAATCAAATCAATCTCTAAAGGTAGATTCATTTTTTTGTCTCATATTTATTTATACTAACAATTTATGTTCAGGTTGTTACATGGGTTAGCACTCCCCAATTTCATAGCTTGGATCGTCTGACTGTCTAATGATCTCAAAATGCACATTAGAACAATACACTTATAGTTAAAATAATTCAGACTTTAAAAGGATAGGAAAGGTTGATTTTTTACAAAAATGTCACAATATTTTTTATTTATCATAGGCTCATAGCACAAGTTTCTATTTCAAATGATGCATAATTTTCAAATCTAACATTTCAGTTCTTTCTAATTCACTTTTTACGTGTTAAGATGTCTTCTCATTTGAACTCAACCCTTATATATATACTCCGTAATATACAATTTTCAAAATTACGTTCCGGTACATAGATAGAAATAATGCTAGAGTAATTTATTTGAATAATTATTATATATATATATAGACATAATAGTTCAACAAGGGTTGTGAATTAATCAATATATTTGAAAATTATTTGGGTAGAAAAAACATCAATATTGAAGATAGTAAAAGTAAAAAATAGATGTTTACATTTTGGTTGACTGGCAACCTACATGGATCAACTCACTTAACCTGCTACATGTGCAAGTTGCACCACGAAACGAGTGAGTTCACAGGATTGAAGAATGACAACTCTAACCACGAAAGTCCTATGGACTTCGACTAATTTTGACAACTTTGACTATAGTCGATTGAATTTTCTTTTAAACACTAATTGATGAATTCATGTACAATTTATTTTCCCTACAATTTTAATAAAAACTTTATGCACATATTTCCCCGTGCAGTGCACGGGTACACATACTAGTAATTTAATAAAGGAAACCCTTGGAGGAAGCCTATGAAGGAATTTTGACATGTGGCATCTCCTCTGTATGAAAAATCAACATGTGGAATCCTATTTGTAACATTAATTGACATGTGGCATTTTAATAATGTGTAACAATTATTGCACCATTATCTATAAGGATTTCAACCTCTTGTTCTCGAGATTTCCACTTCAAAATTCCTCTCATTTTGAAGGTTTTTATGCTTGGAATCTCCTCCTTACTCATTGAGGACAATTGCATAGTTCTGAATTCCATTTCAATTCCCTCTTCCTTGGTATTCAACTTCTTCTCCTTCAGAATTTTCCACAAGAACAATTTTGTAGTGTTTCATTTTGAAGATATGACCTCGGTTCCAATTTTCCCCACATTTGAAACAGAGCCCCTTCTTGCTTCTGTTCAATAGTTCTTCTTGGGATAATCTAGGGCCATTCCTTATCATGTTCTGCTCTTGCACTTCAGAATTTATTTTTTCATCAACTGTAGCTTTGCCCAAACTAACAGAGTTGATAGGTTTGTTCCTCCATGTATTTCCATCTTCCTCTTTATGAGGCTGACTCTTACCCTGCTATTTCATCTTCTCTTCATCTTTGTTCTTCCTAATACAGGCTTCATGGTTCTTGTTTTCAATCAGAGAAGCTGTGTCCATGATAGCAGCTAGGGTTCTAGTAGTATGTTGTTTCAATTCCGCCCTATATCCCTTTTCAACCCTTTTATAAATACTCCCTTCAATATTTCTTCAGTCAAGTGTCCCTGAGAAGCAATGGCTGTCTCGAATTTATCTCTATATTCTTTCATGCTCCCCTTTTGTTTCAGACTGAGTAAAGGTCCTAAAGGATCTTGCACCAAGTTTGATTGGAAACGTTTGGTCAACGCAACTGTAAATGATTCCTAGGTTTGACGATGTGCTTGGCCTTCCCACCATTGAAACCAGCTTAAGGCCTGGTCTTCCATGGCCACAACTGCAACATCAATCTTATTCTCTTCTTCAGTCCTATTTAAGCGGAAGTAACGATCCATTCTAACTAGCCATCCAGAAACATATTCTCCATTAAAATTAGGTAAGTCGATCTTTCTACCTGTTGGATGATGATGACGTTCCCTGTGATGATGATGGTGGTGGCGACGCGGTGGTGAATAGTTGTCGTTCCCTTCCTATTCCTCAGAACTCGTGGAATATCTCGAATGGTGATGGTGAGACGAATGATGATGGTGAGGCGAATGGTGATGGTGAGAAGTGCGATGTGAGGCGGAAGAAGCGTGCGATCTACTTCGCGATAGATTTTGGTCTCTCTCCACCAAAGTCGCGATCGTTGCTCGTAACTCTGCGATATTCGCGGCCACAACTGCGGATGATTCCCTTTGACTTCTTTCCAAATTCAACTGCATCTCCCGTATCTCTCACTGATTTCTGTCTATTTCCGCCATGTTTCTTCCAAAATTTGTCAAATTCCTTTCTACGTCATTCATTCGCCCTTCCATCTTGGCGCGAGTGTGTCTCATCCAGCAATCGAGACTCTGATACCAATGATAGGACTATCTAAGGTTTCTGAAGAATTACAGAAAGAATAACAAGAAAATAGTTGAATATCTATGTTGATGGAGTTGATCGATTACAGATTACTGAAAGAGAGTAGGAAATCAATGGCTGAAGCCCCCAGCTGAGCCGAAGCCCCCCAAAGAGAGAGAAATAATTCTCAATCTTCCCAGACAAGTCTAAACAGTCAAAACAGCCTCCTCAACCCTTCCTAGCCCTCTTCTCTTTATACTCAGCTAATACACTTATTATTATTAATACCCTAATAGGCCCGGTCCCTTATTATTAGTATTAGTCTATTAGGCCCAGGTTCCTATCAGTCAGCTACAGCTATTTTCAAGAATCCTAACCATCATGATAGGAAAAAAATTATTGAGATAGATAGACATTTGCTGGGGTAGAAGATACAGATAGCAACCTCATGTCACTTAAGCAAGTCTCCTCTTGGTTGCAGGTAGTAGACAACCTCACCAAGGCCATTGCCTATACTAACTTCGGTCCTGCTCAGGAATTCAATCTAACCAAATTTAGGGGATAGTTATTTTCCTATGATTGTGGGATTGCCGATCTAGTTTTAGGGCTTTGATATGTATGTTGTATAGAGCTGTGATTATCATCCTCGCACAACAGTGATTGTCTTTCTTTAGAAAGCGTTAATGACATACTCCCTCCGTCCCAATTTGATGATCCCGTATTTCCTTTCTGGGTCGTCCCAAATTGATAGTCTCATTTCCCTTTTTGGAAAGAAATAAGTGATCCACATCATTTCACCTTTTTCTACTCAAATCTCAACCACAACTTTTACCTTTTCAACCACTTCCTTAATCTTTGAGCCCAAAAGAAATGGGATCATCAAATTGGGACGGAGGGAGTACATATTATTACTTGTATCAACCTTCATATTATATTATTTATATTCGAGATCAATCTTGCAATTCAGCCACTGGTTTTATTACAGGAGCTTCTGTACCTTTATGGATTCGTAATGGAAGATAATCCAGATGACTATCTCATGGTAACCCTATACAACTGATCAAAGTCTCTGAAGTCTGCTTTATTTTAGAAAAGTTTCTATTAAATGTACGAAGGTTTCAGTGAAAAGGAAACTGGTTTTAGATCTAATTGGTTTTGCAGTATAGGTTCATTACCCTGTGGAGGCTATTCAGGGCATCAATTTTTTTGAGTCCAAATCGCAGCTCCTTCAAGCACAGGCAATGAATGTTTTGTTTCTGTTATTGCCACGTTTTTTTTACAAAATGGAAATGCGTATTCTAACATTTTCAAACTATGTAGTTTTATTTTGTGTGAGCTTGCCAGCATTATGATGACACAATTATATACCCTTCTCTTCTCCATCCTATAACCCTTGTTGTGCATCATAATGTAGTAACACAACTCTATTTGTACTTACAGACAGCTGAGATGAGGTATTTGTTACCAAGAAGTTTGTTGAAAGAAGGATTCTTTCCTCCATGTACGCCTCAAATAGAGATGAGTGATAAACACTCCGGTAATCACATGAAAAACTATAGTTGGAGCGGTGAGCGCACGATGCCCTCTTACTCAAATAAGCTTGTTTTTCCCGAGGAATTTTTGAGTACCTTGAGAACAATAGCAATGAGAGAAGATGAACTGTTCAAGGTCACATCACTACTCAGTGAGATTTTTTTCTCTCTGAATTGCTCTTAATTCATTGCTGTTGCAAAAGAAAAAGGAGCGCATAAAGTACAACTAGAAGGAAACAATTCGTCTACCACAAGGGGCGTTAGCTATGATGATCCCTTAGGAAATGATTTGATTTTGTTCAAATTTGATGGGGGGCTTTTCTATTGATTAATAAGTGTGCATTTGATGTCTAGTTACTTTTAAGTGGACTTCTGTTTCACTATAAGAACAATTGTGGCATCTAGTTACTTGGTTGTGTTTAGTTGTTAATTAATCAAGTACTTATTTCTTACAAAGCTTGTTGCACCTGAAAGCCAACAGCAACCAACTGATATCGAAGTTCGAGAAGCCATTTGGGAAGCATGCGGCGATTCTGGAGCCTTGCAAATGCTTGTTGATCTGCTAAATATGAAGTAATAATCAGCATGTTTTTGAAACTACATTAATGCTTGCCGGCTATCATTTTATTCCTACGGTAGTACATACACACACAAGTATATGGTACCGAGTGAAACATAAATATATAGTTATGAATTTAACCTGGTCAACTGGTAAAAGAATGGATAGTTTTAAACATATACCTCTCTTTCGACTTGATGAATCTCTCTATGCAAGGATGATGGATCTTGAAGAGGGTGTTATGATAGCGGAGAATGACACCAAACTACTTTCTAAAGAATTCTTCATAGATGTTGTGGAGCACGAAAGGTATGTTGCATAAGTTTTCTCTCTCTAAATTTTTCTCAGGGCACCCGTCTCAAGATTCATTTCCATTTTGTCCCAAGACATTTAATCCTCATTCCTTTCAAAATGGCTCCTCTTGCAGCAAATACGATAACAATGACACCAAGGAGAACTTTTTGAGCAGAAACAAGTGGTGTAGCATAATATACCGCCAAGGGCAGAAGCAACTCAC